GAGGCGGCTGGGGGGGCGGGAGGGCGAGCGTGCTCCAGGCTCCCGGCCTTGGCGAAGGCGTGCTGGCAGGAGCGAGCGACCCCCGGGGTCTACGTGGAAGCCCGCCCCATCGCCCGGAGCCTTCTGGGGGCGGCCGCGCGCTCCCGCGTCATCCTCCGCGGCGAAGCGGAGGTCCGGGGATGCTGGGTTGCCCTTCTCAACCCCCCACGCTACCCCTAGCTTGGATGCCGTGATAATAAGCTGGACTCAGAGCTCCGCCCCCATAGTTATCCGTCCCCCTCCCCCCTCCGCCTCCGCCCCGCGCCCCTTGAGCAGGGGGTTGAGGGTTTGAGGGCTAGGAGAGATCTGGAAAGAGCAGGATGGGGGAAGGCACAGTTCTAGGGAAGGGTGTGGGGAGGCCTCCCTCACGGATCCTTCTCCTTTTGACCTGGAGAGCTGAGGATTACAGCCACGCCCCTAGTCCCCCTCCGGCTCCGCCCCCGCACGCGACAGAGGGGGTGGGGACGAAAGTGCCAGCGAGTCGGGAACACGTGTGCATGCGCGCAGCGTTCGCGGGCGTCTAAATTAGGGTCGGCTCCGCTCTGGGTCTGTATTTACCCAGCGTGCAGCGGGCACGTGTCTACGCGGCGTGTATGAGCTCAAGCCTCGGAAGAGCACCCCAGAATCCGCTTTCCGCGCGGTAGGCGGGGCCCTGGACAGCCCGGGCCCTGCCAGATACCCAGTGCGGGCTCGGATTCTGTCCACGCGAGACCAAGAGACCAACTATAACACTTCGACCCTTCATCCGGGCCCCAAGCTTTGACACCCCCGCATGTGCCCGGTGACTATCAAGACATTGCCAGGACATGAGTCTGTGACACCCCACGTGGGCCATCTGATTGCTCCTTCCCTGCAGTCACCACATGGGCACCTTTTCTTCATATCTCTGTCCCTCGTTGTCATGGGCCCCCTCCCATTTGTGCTCTCCCCCCAGCACTAACAGTGAACTGTGGGGGCCAGTTCTCGCTCCACCCCTGTCCTCCAGGAAAGTGCTAGGTTTTAAGGGGGGTGGGGGATAGGAAAGGAAACTTAACATCCAATCAGAGCTGCAGCGTGGCAGCAGCAGAGCCAATCGGGAAAAACCATACTGTGAGCCATCCCCTACCACCACCACAGCCCAAAGCCCTCCAGTACCCAAACTATGCCTATCTGCACCCCTCTGATAATGCCTGCAGGAGAAGTACTTTGCCACACTTGGCTGGAAATGCAGAGGGACTGGGACGCCCAGGTCCCCAGGTGGTTGAGAATGAGGAAACCTCAGGTGCCCTAAGAGAGACCAGGAACTTGGAGAAAGTGATTGAGGCAAGGCCAAAAAGGAACCCTAATGGGGGACGTTTAGGCCATGGGACAGAGGCTGACTGAGGAAGGCTTTATTGAACCAGTCAGGGTTCCCCAAATTGCTTCTGATTCCTTTTTCCTCTGGCTCAGCGGTCATGGACCACCCCCTCTGCACCCCGGGACTGCATCAATAGCCATTTTCGCAGGTAGGTGGCCCCCACGACGAGAAGGATCCCCACAAAGGCCGCGATGGAGGTGGAGGCCAAGACCTTGGGCGCGGGGCTCCAAGCTGGGGACAGGAGGTGAGAATTAGGAAGGGAACACATGTTGATGTGACGCCCCGCATGGAGCTGCCGCTTGGCTCTCTCACCCTGCCGGGGTCATAACCCTTCCCCACCCCTCCTCAAGTCTCCAGGATTCCAAAGGTGCCTCACCGAGGACTGTGAGCGTCATGGGTGCCGAGCTGCTGCGGACCACCAAGCCATCAAGATTGAGGCGTGCGTGGCAGGTCACGGGCTGCAAGAAGTCGCGGGGCCTAGCGGGTAACGTGTACGTCAGCGTCACATTGGCCAGGTCCAGGCCAGTGAAGCGCTCCAGGTTCTCAGAGTAGATGACCCGGCCGCCGCGCCTCAGAGTCACCACCAGGAAGCCCACGGGGAATACGTGTGTCACGTGGCAGCGCAGCGTGTACTCACTGCCCACTAAGACTGGGGGATCCAGGATCACGCTGTGCGGCTGTTCTAAAGCAAGAGGGGGCCGCTGAGCAAGGTGCGCGTGCGCCCCCTAACGCGACTGTCAAATACCCCCCCCCCTCCGTCCCCCTCCCCTCACCCCAGAAGAACCTGAGCCCCAGTCCCTCACTGTAGGCGGTGATCTTGGCCGTGGCCCCCCGCGTTTCTCCTGCGCAGGTGACGAAGCAGCGCACCTCGGAGCTCCAGGCCCTCACATCCAACAGCTCGTAGGATACCCAGCCGGGCCCACTAAGCGTTCGGCCTCGCCGCAGCCGAGTGCTGAGGCTGGAATTCTCCGGCAGGGGGCAGCTGCTGCTGCAGTTAAGCCACACCGAACCCCCCGGCGGCACGGCCTTGAACGCCGGGCTCACGCGCACCCAGAAGGACGCCGAGGTCTCCGAGGGCTCCGGAGAGTTGCCTCCGGGGCCTTGAGCCCGCGCAGCCCGGCGCCAACGCGCGCTCCCGCCTCCCCGGTAGGCAGCCGCCAGCAAAACCAGCAGCGAGAGGGGGAGCAGAGACCCCATGGGAAAGGGCCCAGACTGAGGGGCCCCGCGCCAGGGAGCCAAAGGTGGCTGTGGAGATAAGGAGGCCCGCAGCCCCGCCTCCTCAGCCCCACCCGGAGAGACAGAGGCCCCTAGAGGGCCCTGGAGCCTGCGTAAAGACCCTCAGCTCCTCCCTCGGCTCAAGGACGGGATTCCAAACCACCAGAAACCAAGGGTCAGAGAGTTTTCTGGAGAGGAATCTTTAATTTTCGCTAGAATCTTAAGAGGTTCTGAAGAGCCCCAGATTTGGACTAGAGCCTCAGGGGTGGGCCTTGAACCGGCAGCCTTTTCTTAGGGGAGGAAATGGGAGGATGAGGAGGAAGTGGGAGGATGGGACTAGAAAGGGCTCCAACTGGACGTTGGACATCTTCCCTCAACTCACACAAGGCAGGCGCACAGAGAAGAAGCTTTATTAGCACAAGAAAGAGGCTTCTGGAACTGGGAGGGGATCCCCCCCCAGGCCTCTCCTCTGCACTGCCTGCAGGGCCCTTGTCTCCGCTGGGATTTGGAGCTGCCAGAGTGCTCTGTTCTTGCAAGGTCCCAAGATGGAACCAGGTAGGACAAGGCAGGGACACACAGCGGTTGGGCATAGTTTCATGGGACTATATGGTTTAGCTGCCAGTGAATGGGCATTCATGTTTAGGCACGCCACAGTGTCACTGTGAGCACTAGCAGATGCTTATGGGCAGAGAGGTGGTTAACGGAGGTCAGTGTCAGAGATGGGGGGAGGAGTAAGGGCTCAGTGGTTGTCCCTGGGCAGGTTACCAACTAAACCACATCACCATTGCCAGTCCCCTTCTGGGGGAAAGCAGCTTAGCCAGCCGGAGTAGGGAATTCCAGCCCCACTTGATCTTTTTGCCAGGCACTCCTTTGCAGTGCACAGCCGGTACAACTGTACCTGGCGGCCCTGAATGAGACTAGACGGAGAACTCCCTGAGGACAGGAACCTATGTTCCTCTTCTTTACTCTTCTAACCCACATCAAAGGCACTCAATAAATAGCTCATAAGAGAACACATTAATAAATACATCCATCAAAAGTTGGGGACAGTCAGTGGACAGCCGCACTGGAGCTGGCATGTCAGAAGAAGGATGGGGATATGTTTCCATGCTGTATGTGTTTGTGCAGGCCACTTCTCCCTAGGACTGCGGGGCCTCAGCACATGCAGCAGGGGTGAGTTTCACTGTTTCGCAGTTGGGTGTCCCAGGTCAAGTGTCCCACCACACCCCCTCTGGTCTGGTCAGGCTTTGGCACCCCTCACAGTCATGACCCAAGTCCCGCCCCCTCCTCATGGCTCAGTCCTGTGACTACAGGTCAGGTGTGAGGCTTGGGGATCCTAAGTGTGCATGCGCCTTGATCCCCAATGCTGTCCGTATCCTGAGGCCTCTGTCCTGTCCTCGGGTGTCCTGGGAAGGTGGGTGGAGCTGAATGGACCATTGTTCAATGTGGCACTGCTGCCACTGTGTGGGGGGCTGAGGAGGAGGCCCTGTCCTGGGACAGGTTCAGGGTGGCGTGGCTGGTGTGTTCAGCTTCATGGCAGCCGCCTCCTGGGCCTTCTGTAACTTGTATTTCTGGATCTTCCGCTGGCGGTTATAGAAGTAAGCAGCTAGGCCCGCAGCTCCTATGGTGAAAGCAACTGTCACCAGAATGGTGGTGAGGATGTAATTCCGGTGGTCTGTGGGGGAGGACACAGTGGGTGATGAAGGTCGAGCCAGGCTCACTGCCTCTGCCCTGCCCAACCCTAAACACCAGCACACTCACAGATCACGTTCACGACCACTTCACGGGTGACCTCACCACGGGGGCTCCTGGCCTGACACAGGTAAGTGCCTGCAACCTCCCGCGTGACAGGTCTCAGGTCCCCGATGGGCAGCAGAGCATTATCCCCCTTCCGGCGACACTTCAGCTCAGGAACTGGATTTCCCCAAGCTTGGCATGTCAGGGTCTGCTGGGAGCCTTCCTGCCACGTCCAGTTTCCCAGACAATCCCTCTTGTCTAGTCGGGGACCATCTGGAGAAACACAGCAAGATGAGGGATGAGGTCAGGGACCAGGACACCCCTCACCACCTGGGACAGGAGGACTCTGGAATCTGGGGAGAGGGCTGGAGGGGACCCCCAGAGGGCAGGAGCTCCAGGGGCCTTAGGGGTTGGGTCTTGAGGATTAGGAGTCATTGTCCAGCAGCTCCACTCACACAGGACACGGAGCTCCCGGGTCTGGTTCTTGTGTAGCACCTGCCCGGCCACCTCCAGGAGAGCAGAGCAGAAGAAGATGCGCCCATTGTCCTCGGCGCTGGCATTTAGTTGGAACTGGGCCCTGGGTCCTGGAAGCCTTGCCGGGACCCCCCCGCTCAGCATCACCAGGGCCCCGGCCTGGGCTTCACACTCCACGGTCACCACAGTCTGTTCTGAGACCTCTGGCTCACTCAGGGTCAGGCTGGGAGCCGGGAAGCCTGGGGGCGGGGCACACGGTGAGCACCGCCTCCCAGTACCGGTCCCACCCCTTGGAAGCCCCGCCCCGTCTCTACTTACTGTAGATGGTCACATTCTCCTGCCACGACCGGCTCTGGTGTCCCAGGGTCACCACGCACGACAGCTGCTGGGTGCCCTCCTCTTCCATGTTGGCCTTGTCATGGGCCGTGGCCAAGAGGGAGTCGTTGTTGTGCGTGACTGTGGGGTGCAGGTTCCAGCCAGACAGCTCCAGGCGGACTTGGGCCTCCGAAGCTGGGAACAGCCC